GTGTGTGTGTATGCGTACGTGCGTGCGTGTGTGCGCGCGCGTGTGTGTGTATATGTGTGTGCGCGCGTGCGTGCGTGCGTGTGTGTGCGCGCGCGCGTGTGTGTATATGTGTGTGCGAATGTGCGTGTGTGTGCGTGTATGTGTGTGTGTACGTGTCTGTATGTGTGTATTTTTGCTGCGTTCCCTCGGAGTGCCTCCGCTCCCCTACTATCACACACTCGCCATCCAGGCTCTAGCTTGGCTACTACTATCTACTATCTACTACTATCTACTATACGTACTATCTATCCGAACTATACGTACTATACGTACTATCTATACTATCTATGCGTACTATCTATACGTACTATACGTACTATCTATACATACTATACGTACGATCTATACGTACTATACGTACTATCTATACGTACTATACGTACTATCTATACGTACTATACGTACTATCTATACGTACTATACGTACTATCTATGCGTACTATACGTACTATCTATACGTACTATACGTACTATCTATACGTACTATACGTACTATCTATACGTACTATACGTACTATCTATACGTACTATACGTACTATCTATACGTACTATACGTACTATCTATACGTACTATACGTACTATCTATACGTACTATACGTACTATTTATACGTACGATCTATACGTACTATACGTACTATCTATACGTACTATACGTACTATACGTACTATCTATACGTACTATACGTACTATCTATACGTACTATACGTACTATTTATACGTACGATCTATACGTACTATACGTACTATACGTACTATACGTACTATACGTACTATTATACGTACTATACGTACTATCTATACGNTTTATACGTACTATACGTACTATCTATACATACTATACGTACTATCTATACGTACTATCTATACATACTATACGTACTATCTATACGTACTATACGTACTATCTATACGTACTATACGTACTATCTATACGTACTATACGTACTATACGTACTATTTATACGTACTATCTATACGTACTATACGTACTATTTATACGTACTATTTATACGTACTATACGTACTATCTATACGTACTATACGTACTATCTATACGTACTATCTATACATACTATACGTACTATCTATACGTACTATACGTACTATCTATACGTACTATACGTACTATTTATACGTACTATTTATACGTACTATACGTACTATCTATACGTACTATACGTACTATCTATGCGTACTATACGTACTATCTATACGTACTATACGTACTATCTATACGTACTATACGTACTATCTATACATACTATACGTACTATCTATACGTACTATACGTACTATCTATACGTACTATACGTACTATCTATACGTACTATACGTACTATCTATACGTACTATATACGTACTATCTATACATACTATACGTACTACATGTATATACGTAGGTATAGCTACTCTACTACTTCTCGTGTGCTGTTACTAGTGAAGCTACTGTTGCTGCTTCTGATGATGTCATCCCTCGTTTGATGATGCCGCCGATGCCTGCCGCGCATGCGCAGACGCGACGTCCCCG